AAAGAAAGCACAGTGAAAAGAAGGTGGTAGGGTAAATACGATGGAGGCGATACGAAGATCGTCCATTGGCTGCGTAATATTTAAAGACTTGTGTATTAACCATTTTACTTTTTCATCGTTGTTAGACACGGGTTGTAATTTGTGTCTTATGCGTTACGATGTATTGATGATGCTAGGAGAGATTGAACTGTCTAAGGATAGACATCAGTTAAAAGGCATAGGCCACAGTATTTTGAATACGATGGGTAGTTTTGTAATTAAGATGCAAGGGGATGGCATCAAGTTAGACATTACTTTCCATGTTGTGCGTGGTCGTGACATTATTTATCAGGCAATCATCGGTAACAATGTTTAAAAGCAGGTAGATTTGGTTGTGACGGAAGATAAGGTGGAATTGAAGAGCAAGGGCGTAGACAAATCCCGTTCGAGTGACGAATATCAGGGGTACGAAACTAAAATAGAGCTTGTTGAGGAATTTAAAGATTTATGTTTGGCAGCGGAGCCTGTATCAGGAGATAAATTTGAAGTAGATTTGTCACATTGTACGCAGATGCACAGAAATGAGGTAAAGACAATTGTTGAACTTTATTCACCTTCCAAACAATACGACTCTCCAGTTACCATGAAGATTTGCGTGACTGATGATACTCCAGTATACCAAGGTCCAAGGCGCATGTCTTATTCGGATAGGTGCATAGTTGATAGACAGATCGAGGAATGGTTAGAAGATGGTATCATTCAACCTAGTTCTTCTGAATATGCGTCGCCAATTGTCCTCGTAGCAAAGAAGGATGGTAGCAAGAGGCTTTGCTGCGACTATAGATGACTTAACGAGAGGATTATGAGGGACAACTTTCCGATGCCACTCATGGATGACGCTATCGAGAGGGTGCAAGGTGCGCGGGTATTTACTAATCTAGATTTAAAGAACGGATTTTTCCATGTACCTATTGAGGCAAGTTCGAGGAAATACTCTTCCTTCGTGACCCACCAAAGCCAGTACGAATTCAAGTACGTTCCTTTCGGTATTTGCAATTCTCCAGCGGTATTTACGCGGTACATCTTCGCAGTATTTAGGGACTTAGTGGCGAGTGGCATTGTAGTGACTTATATGGATGATCTCATAATTCCTTCCATGGATGTAGATCAGGGTCTAGAGAAGTTGAAAGTTGTTTTAGGTAGAGCGGCCGAGTATAATCTTCGTATTACATGGAAAACATGCCAATTCCTGAAAACCAAAGATGAGTTTCTAGGTTATGTTTTGGAGAACAATACTAGAAGCAAAGACTCAGGCGGTCAAGAATTTTACAAAACCATCCGACAAAAAAGCGGTACAGAGATTTTTTGGTCTTACTTCGTATTTTCGTCGGTTGTTTGAGGGATAGGCAGTGATCGCCAAACCACTGGCTGACCTCTTGCGCAAAGATGCAAAGTTTGTTTTTAAGGAAGAACAGCAGGTGGCCTTTCAGCAGTTAATAGGTGCATTGGTTAGCGCTCCTAGTTTTGAGGTTGTACAACCCAAAGGCTATAACTAAAGTACACACGGATGCATCAATGCACGGCTATGGAGCCGTACTCATGCAAAAGTATAGCGAGGACCAACATTTTCACCCCATTCAGTTTATGGGTCGCAAGACTAAGCCAGCAGAAGAAAAGTACCACTCGTACGAATTAGAGGTGTTAGCCATAGTTGAGGCACTGAAGAAGTCGAGGGTGTATTTGTTGGGGATACGATTCAAGATTGTGACAGACTGCAACGCGTTTGCAATGACAATGCGGAAGAGAGATATTCCGTTAAGAGTGTTTCGCTGGGCAGTGCTGTTTCAAGATTTCGATTATGAAATAGAACACCGAAGTGGATCGAAAATGATCGTGTTAGAGGATTCGCTGATTCATCGGTTGAAGCAGGCACAACTGCAGGACGATTGGATTTGGGCAGTTTGTAAGGTTTTAGAAAAGGATACGTACGAAAATTATAACGTGAAACATGGGTTTTTGTACAAGGATCCTGTAAAAGGGCCTTCACTGCAGGGACACTTCTCGGTAAAGAAGACCCAAGAAGCCGTTGAAAAGACCTTTTTCATCCCACAGCTGAATTCGAAAGTGGGAAAAATCGTAAGAAGTTGTGTCGAATGCATTGTAACAGATGCTAAAGCAGGTAGGAAGGAAGGGTTTCTGAACCCTATAGACAAAGAAGATAGGCCATTAAGCACCCTTCATATTGATCACGTAGGACAAATGTAACAAACGAAGAAGGCATACAACTATATGGTGGGTGGTGGATGCTTTTTAACTGACTTCCAAAAAAGGAGGAGGTTATCAGTTCGTCGTAATATTTTTTTATTTATTTTTTTTATGTATGTTACCGCATAACTTTGGATCACGTCAACCGATTTCCGATTTTTGCATCGGAAAGGTAGTGTCTCAGTTGTCCCATACTAATCTGGTTAAGATCCGATCAGTGGATCATGAGATATATATATATATTTTTATTTTTATATGAGAGTTGAAGTCGATTTTTTTGCTAAAAATTACTTGTTCTAAATTCGTTTGGTTGTACCCAACAAAAAATACTGGAGTTGAGGAAGTTATTTATCGTCTCTCAAAACAATCAGCTACTTTTGGAAACCCTAGGCGCATTATCACAGACAGGGGTGCTGCGTTCACGGGTAATCTCTTCAAAGGGTACTGTGAGAAAGAGGGCAGAGAACACTTATTGATTGCGACGGGTGTTCCGCGGGGCAATGGACAAGTGGAGCGGATGCACCGAATAGTCGTCCCTATGGTTTCAAAGTTATGTCGTGAGGCACCTAGGAATTGGTATAGGCATGTAGATAAGGTACAGCAGGTTATCAATAGCACACCAACGCGTAGTACCAGGTATTCACCCTTTAGGGTTTTGACAGGGGTTGACGTGAGAGTCACGGGGTTACCAGAGTTTCATGAGTTAGTAGAAAACGTGGCTGTAGACGATTTAGACGCAGAACGCGAATTGACACGCCAACAAGCTAAAAAAAACATCGCGTTGATACAGAAGGAGAACAAGCGCAATTTTTATGCAAAGAGGAAAGAGTCCACTAAGTATCGACTCAATGATCTGGTAGCAATTAGACGCACCCAATATGGTAGCGGGCTAAGGTTGAGACCAAAATATTTTGGTCCGTACAAGATCTCGAAAATATTGGCCCATGATCGGTATGAAGTTGAGAAGGTAGGCGAATGTGAGGGACCTCGGCGCACAACCTCCGTCGTAGAATACATGAAGGGGTGGAACCCATCGTTCGAGCCGAACGATAAGCCAGGAAGGCCGAATGTGGGAACACCACCTGGCAACCCTACTGACTGAACGAAGACTGTTGACGAAATAGACGAAACGCACGAGGACAAAGGAATTAAAACGAACTGACGGCATAAGTTTTGAACCGCGCGACCGAACAGACCGTAGCTACCTTTAAGTGCACCGGCGTTGTACAGATTTTAAACAATTCATGAATAATAATTTATAATTAATATTAAACACAAACTAAGTGTTTTATTGAGCGGAAACTACATATATGAGTATAGAAGTCAACAAATTTGTAAACTTTCAAAAGCTTAATTTTTTTATTTGAATACGCGTTTATATAGCGAGTTGCTTGTTCAAAGACCCTCACCTTCTTTCGAAAAGATGTCGCAGAATTCAGACGTAGTGGCCCCACCGAAGCCTACTTTCTTTCTGCCGTGAACCAGCAGTGGAATTCTGACAATCGCTACGCTAAATTTTCGTCGCTAAAATTCTCTAAATGAAAAGCAGTAGGGCCTGCAAGTATACAACATGGAAGAGTAACACATGCAATGCGTGATCAGCCATATCTGCCAGTGTGGCGGGCAATTAACTAGTTGTTGCGTGTTGTTAGGGGCGTCTGCTATTATTTTGGAGGTTTTTGGCGATCAAAGCTAGCAATAGCAAATATTGGAATCCGCCTGCAGGGCTTCACACCAGTTGGTTACAGCAACTCGCACATGGATTGCTCTCAGGGGGCACCGGAATTGCGCATATGGAAACTGAGAATGTGTCATACATCACAAATTATGTTCGCTTATGTTTTAAGTACCCAACCCGCCTAAAAACCTCAAAAAGCTGACATTTTTCGTGAGGTACTTAAGCGGGTTTTACTGTATTTCGGTTTTCAACCGAAGCTGTGCATGTATGCATTATTTCGTTTTTGAACCGAAAAGGTGCATGTATGCATTACTGCGTTTTTTCCATATGCATTATTTCGGTTTTGAACCGAAAGTGTGCATGTATGCATTACTTCGTTTTTTTCAACCGAAACTGTGCATGTATGCATTACTTCGTTTTTCACATAAGCATTATTTCGGTTTTCAAACGAAAATGTGCATATTCATAATTTCGATTTTTTCTCATATGCATTACTTCGATTTTGAGTCGAAACTGCGCGTGTATGCATTACTTCGTTTTTTTCATATGCATTATTTCGGTTTTCAAACGAAAGTGTGCATATGGATAATTTCGGTTTTTTCTCATATGCATTATTGAGGTTATCAACCGAAACTTTGCATATATGTATTATTTCGGCTTTTTTCATATGCATTATTTCGGGTTTCAACCGAAAATGTGCATATATGCATTATTTCGTTTTTTTTCGTATGCATTATTTTGGTTTTTCTCATATGCATTATTTCGTCTGCACTGTTTCCATATGCACAATTTCAGGGTGCCTGCTCACAGTGCCCAGAGTGCGCGAACGGGAACGCAAGAATCGGGAAATCAAGGCGTCTGTTACCAGCACAAAAATGATTGAAAAAAAAATTTATAATTTATTTATTGGTATATTAACATTCCCCTCTTCCCACCCACACTATATTAGATCCTGGATGCGCCCTTGGTATGGCCTTATGAAAGCTTTTAAATTTTGTCAATACTTAAGACTATGCAAAATCTTCCTTAAGGTTAATCTTCCTTCAGTAATTCAAAATATTTTATTTGTCTTTTTCAGAAAAAATGTATTCAGTGATAAAAAATGGACTTCGCTTCAGTAAAAATATTGGGTACTGCTAAACCAAAGATAAGGGAATAAGTTTGTATACAAATGCAATTACATATTTGCAAGAACAACCAACATTAAGCGATGACGAAAAAACTTGCAATGAGAAATAGTGTGCTTCAAAATTATATGCCAATAAAATAAACCAATCCAATGTAGAATATGCACCAGCTTTAGCGTAAACAAAATAAAGAATGAAATATTTTACAGAATTTTGCCTGCATACAATACAATGAAACCTATGTATGTACATATGTTCATAGTAAGTTTAGAAGGTAGATAATCAATATATATGTACCTTCATAATATATTTAACACAAGTATTTGTTTTATCTAGAATTTCAATCGAAAATATAAAGCAATTTTAATGTAACGCAAATTGAAAGAAGAACCTGTGTGTATGGGTGAAAACGTGACAGCAGTCAAACAAGCAAAAGCAGCAAAACAGTAATTGTTGAATTTTTATTGAATACGATCTTTGTGTACTATAAGTTTTAGAAAATACTTATGTACAAAAAAGGAAACGAATCGTTATGCCAATACGAATGACGAAAACAAAAGTATTCAACCATTTCACATACAGCAGTGAAAGTAGTATGTTAACAAGCGCAGTTGCCGCTATTGGAGTCAAGTGGATATTCCTGTGTTCCTGTTTTACACTATTCGGTAAGTTGGAGATTAATGTTTAGTTAGTTTAGTAATAAAATCCATTTTGCTGATTTTTCTAAGACTGATATTTCAATTTTTCTACCCAAACGCACTTGTGCACAAGGGTATTATAACTTTGTTCACATAACGGCAGTTTGTAACAGCCAAAACTAATCGAGATAGATATAGATAAATGTATACATAAATGATCAGAATGAAAAAAGAAATCGATTAAGCGGTAACTGTTTGTCCGTCCGTCTGTCCGTCTGTGCACACGATAACTCAGTAAAAATTGAGACATCTTAACAAAACTTTGTATGTGTCCTTCTTCTCGGCGTACGACGGATGGTATTGAGAATAAGAAAAATCGTACAATAACCACGCCTACCTCCCATATAACGGTGGTTTTCAGAAACACGAAAACTGCTATATTTTTGTAGCTGAGTAAGGGTTCCTCCAGTGGGTACCGAATTTACCAACATTAATATTTTTCAATGATATTCAGGCAGCGCCGAGTTTTGTAGTCGAACAGTACACTGTGTAATTTTTGTTGCAAAATTCCAATAGTTTTTTTTTAATCAACAATTGAAAATTTTTGCACTGTTTTGGACATTTTAATTTTAAGATTTAAGAAACATTAATTTATACAATGAAATTATTTGCGTTACAAAAATATTTTTTTTGCTTTTCAATAATTTTTTTATGAAAAATTGAACTTTTAAGCAATTTCTGCACTTCATGGAGGAAAATTCTTAACAATAACTTATGTAATAAACATTTCTGCATTTATCTATGAAAAAAATGCGTGCATTTCGATATAGTTTGATCGGAATGAATTTTTAATTGCCAGCGTGCGGGCCCGACTCGCGTGGCTGGATCGCGCCTAGGGATATCGAACCGAAAGTATCGATATGGTACTCATTTAAAGCATCGCTTTAAAAATATCGGGTACCCATTAATATCGGAATAAAAAGCCTCGATATTCTAGATATCGATACCAAAAACCAAAAAATTTTGTCTGAATATAGGTCTCGCATATACGCCGTTGTGGTGCAGTGGTTAAAAGTGCGCAAGCCTTGAAAAGGAAAAACAGCTTGCCATAAACTACAATCGCCGTTCAGAGTCGACATAAAACTGAAGGAACCTCCTTTGTGCCACAACATTAAGGCGCACGCGACAAATCGGAGGAGAAGTTATTTCAAAACGTAGAAATTGAGGTGTTGACTTAAAACACCAAGGCCGCGGGTTCAAATCCCACCGCATGCAATTCTAACTATAGCTCAGATTTCTGCTCTTTAAAGCCCAATTTATATCGGGAAGAATTGTTACAGGCCAACTTAATATGCGTGCGTAAAAAGCTAACTCAAATTCCAAGATTTGTCTTGCGTGACATTTCGATTTGAGGTTTATGCTCAATTGGCATTTTGGCGCCAATTTTGGATTCAAATTTTTCTCAGCAAACTTTTTTTAAATTTGACAGAAATGCAACTCTGAGCAATCACGCACGCAAATTGATTTCGGTTTATCAAATGAGAAAAACTTGCGTGCGTGCGTAGAAAAACTCTCGCCGGTAATATTGGGTTGAGTTGTTAATAACATTATTCTTGTAATGTGAGTTTATGACATTCGATGCGATACTAGGGTTTTAGTACTCGATTCCAGAAAATATCGTTTTAAAACTATCGAGTAGAAAATATCGGTATCGAATGCCAAAAGTATCGATATGGTATCGTATCGTATCGAAATTCGTGTCCCTAATCGCGCCCAATCCGTGTTGACTTCTTGCGCAAGAAAGAAACGCACGTTTCAATCGTTCCACTTTTATTTCTCATGCTCGAATTTCACATGCCTGCGAAAAAATAATAAAACATTGAAAAATATGCATGTTGGTAAATTCGGTGCCCACTTGAGGAAGCCTTACCCAGCTACATATGCTTTTTCACTCAAAATTGATATTGACAATGACTTTTAGACGGAAAATAAGAATTTTATAAATTTTTGGAAAATGGGCGTAGCTTCGTCACTTATGATTACATGTGTATACATATCTTAGTAACCGCTATTCCAATTTCTCCCAAACTTGGCACAGTTGTTGGCCGTGGTATGACATAAGAAACGGCTGAAAATTTTTAAAATCGGACAATAACCACGCCCACATTCCATATAACGGTGATACGAAATTTTCGATAAAACGGTAAATACTGACCTATTTATTCAAAATTGATGTTTGCAATAATTCTTTAGCAAAACATACGTTAATTATACAATATTGGAAAATGGGCGTTTCCACATAAAAGCAAAACGTTGAAAATTAGTGAAATCGGACTAAAATTACGTCCACTTTTCATATAACCGTAAATTTCAGAAATGCTTGAAACTTCGATATTTCGAAATTTAAGCAAGCTAATTTACTCGGAGGATGGTTCCGTGCGCAGAAGTGGAAAACTTTTGACTGCCATTCACCTGGGAGTGGCCAGAAGCGATTCTTTTGCGTACGGTTCAAATCGCAGCTCACAACGTCCGGATATTTATATCCACGTATCCTCTGGGTAGCAACCAAACACCCGTTTGGGAGCGAGCTAAAGTGAGAAGGCGTAAAACTTCGCGTGCGCTGGGTTTGGGTCCCGCCACGTTAAAACCCCGCCCAATGAAAAGAAGCAAACAGCCTCGGATGAGACCCCCTTTTTCTGATGACGACCACGGCAAACGTATAAAGGACTATGATTTAAGGGTATGCACCTGGAATATCAGGACCCTTAATGGGGAAGGTGCCTCTGCCCGGCTGGTTGATGTCCTCGGGAAGACAAAGGCTGACATCACCGCCATCCAAGAAATGCGATGGACGGGGCAAGGTAAAGTAAGCGTGAAGCCTTGCGACGTCTACTACAGTTGCCACGTAAAGGAGCGCAAATACGGTGTTGGATTCGTGGTAGGAGAGAGACTCCGTCGCCGAGTACTGGCGTTCACCCCGGTGGACGAACGTCTAGCCACAATCCGCATCAAAGCTAGATTCTTCAACATCTTGCTCATCTGCGCCCATGCCCCGACGGAAGAGAAGGATGAGGCGTCCAAGGATCTCTTCTATGAGCGCTTGGAACGTACATATGAGCGCTGCCCCCGACACGATGTCAAAATCGTGCTTGGCGATTTTAATGCCAAGGTGGGCAAGGAAGGGATCTTTGGCGCCACTGTCGGAAAATTCAGCCTCACGACGAAACGTCCGATAACGGACTGAGGCTGATCGACTTCGCCGGGGCCCGAAATATGGTAATATGTAGTACTAGGTTCCAGCATAAGAACATCCACTACGCTACATGGCTGTCTCCAGATCGAAAAACGAGAAACCAAATCGATCATGTTGTGATAGACGGAAGGCATGCTTCAAGCGTTTTGGACGTACGTACACTCCGAGGGCCAAACATCGACTCGGACCACTATCTTGTTGTAGCCAAGATACACACCCGCCTCTGTGCAGCAAAAAATGTGCGCCCAACAATGCAAGGAAAGCTTAACGTCGAAAAGCTGCAATCACAACAGACGGCCAATTTATTCGCCACTCGACTCACACACCTGCTCTCTGAGAGCACTCTTCAACAATCCGACGTACGCGAGAAGTGGAACCACATTTCCCGATCATTAAGTACCGCCGCCGAAGAAGTAGTTGGATTTCAGCGAGCCCGAAAGAACAACTGGTACGATGAGGAATGTCAAGAAGCCGCAGAGAAAAAAGATGCTGCCTACAGGGCCACGCTGCGATCGGGCGCAACGCGAGCCATGTGGGACCGTTATAGGGAACTGAAGAAGGAAGCGAGACGTATTTGCCGCAATAAGAAGAGAGAGGCCGAAATACGTGAGTGCGAAGAGCTTGAGATGCTGGCCGAAAATTCTACCAGAGGGTTAGGCGACTTACGGAAGGTTTCAAGACCGGGGCGAACTCCTGTAAGAACAACAATGGCGACCTAGTGACCGATGTCCAGAATATACTTAAATTGTGGAGGGAACACTTTTATAACCTACTGAATGGTAGCAGCGCTGAAAGTAGTGAGGAAGACGAACCCGAGTCCCCAGTCGATGATGATGGAGTAGCTGTCCCACCGCCTGACTATGACGAGGTACGAATAGCGATTACGCGGCTGAAAAACAACAAAGCTGCTGGAGCTGACGGCCTGCCAGCTGAGCTATTCAAGTACGGCGGCGAGGAGCTGATGAGGTGCATGCATCAGCTCGTATGCAGAATATGGTCAGATGAACGCATGCCCGACGACTGGAATTTAAGTGTGCTCTGCCCAATCCACAAGAAAGGCGACCCCGCGATACGCGCCAACTACCGCGGAATTAGCCTTCTAAGCATAGGTTACAAGGTCTTATCGAGCGTATTGTGCGAAAGACTGAAGCCCACCGTCAACGAGCTGATTGGACCTTATCAGTGTGGCTTTAGGCCTGGAAAATCCACCATAGATCAGGTATTCACAATACGCCAAATCTTGGAAAAGACCCGCGAGAATAGGATCGACACACACCATCTATTTGTCGATTTCAAAGCCGCTTTCGACAGCACGAAGAGAAGTTGCCTTTATGCCACGATGTCTGAATTTGGTATCCCCGCGAAACTAATACGGCTGTGTAAAATGACGTTGAGCAATACCACCAGCTCCGTCAGAATAGGAAAGGACCTTTCCGAGCCGTTTGACACCAAACGAGGTTTCAGACAAGGGGACCCCCTTTCGTGTGATTTCTTTAATCTTATGTTGGAGAAGATAATAAGAGCCGCAGAACTGAACCGCTCAGGCACAATACTTTATAAGAGCGTACAATTGCTGGCGTATGCCGACGACATCGATATTATCGGTAAAAACAAGGGCTACGTCTGTTCTGCCTTCTCGGGATTGGATAGAGAAGCAAAGCGAATGGGTCTGGTGGTGAACGAGGACAAAACGAAGTATCTCCTGTCAGCACACAAACAGTCAGAGCATACGCGTCTTGGCACGCACGTCACTGTTGACAGTTACAAGTTTGAA